GTATTTTTTCCCCTTATGTCATTGTCCTGTAAGAAAAATGTGATCCACAGCAGATGCCTTCTTCTGGCAGCAAGAATTATGAGTTTGAACCTATGGTTACATTCAAAGTTTGCAACTGCTACAGATCAAGAAACAACCAACTTTACTTTTTATGAAGTATGTATTTCTTTAACTGAAATATTTCTGGTAGATATCTTACCAAGACTTCCAAATACCCATCCTCCTCCATGAAAAAATATAACTCCTCTCCTTTGGCTGGCAGATGGAGCCTTAGGCTGGTAAATCCTTACAGGCACTTTGTCAAACCACAGATCCTTGATGAAGAGCTTTGGGTCTGCCCTCAGAGTTTTTCTTCCTTGCATGTACCTCACAAAGCTCACCTGAGTGCAGATGCCAAAGTTTTCCAGAATCTTTCCCTGTTCAAAGGCAAAGAGAACAGAGAGCTCACTCAGGAAACCCTGTGATTTCCAAAGGAAAGGAACTGTGTGGACAGTGAACTCACAGTGCCTAAGTCATGTGTTTTTAGGGCAGTAGTAAACTAATGGAGTAGTTGTACAGGTATAGGAGAAAACTGAACAAGTAACAGCAGCATCAGGAGGTGTTAAGAGAGAGTTACATGAATGAAAAGCAGAACCTCAAACAATGCAACATTAACAGACTGGGGAGATAGGATCCTCTGCTTCCTCAGCAGGTCCTTTACCTAACATTGAAAGCAAGTTTGGTTTTCTATCCTCCCCCCTCCAAATGATGTGGAAACACAGCAAAAGATGATAATTCTGGTGCTGATTTTCATGGTACAGACACTTGCCCGAAGTAGAGTTGACTAAGTTAAGAGTATGTTTGATAATTGCTTTTTCCTAAGCCTCACTGATGTGTGCCATGCATTGACAAGAAGATCCTGACATATTTAGTAGGGATGAACTTCTGTTAATTCTCTGTGCCACAGGGATACTCATGCCAGGTACCAGAAAATGAATACAAATCAGAGCTAGTGCTCCAACAGAACTTTGCATAAATAAAAGAAAAGGCATATCCTCTGTTTCAACATGCATTGTTCGGCCATGCCAGTCAGTACTTTGGTCCTTAGGAATATCTGGATCAAGTTCATATTACTCAAGATTCTGTTATGAATGTTTCTTATTAGCCAGCTACACTTGCATGAATTGTCAGTAGTGTCATAACTCTCAATATATTTATCTACAAAAGGCCTTATTTTTCAGTGATTCCAGGTATTTTTAATATTCTCCATGCCTGATCTTGAGGAAAGATTTAACGAACAAACTTAAGACATTTTGCAATGTATTGATTTTAATTTTTTACAGAAACTAGTCTTAGTGTCTCCAGCTGTATGATAAAATGATCTATTCTTTTGTATTTGCTATTTTCCAAGCAGGAATGGAACAATACCAAGGATATTTTAACTTTTATATTCAACTTGTTTGTTTTCTTTCACCCTGTGATGCTTACATTGCAGCATTCAGTGCTGGTTTATGGTGGGCAGTGGATTGATGATTAAAAGAGAACTGGCTTTTCCAGCTGCCTAAGTGATATAATCTCTTTCTAATTACAAGTTCTGTGCAGCCAAAACATTAGAATATATACATCTAGAATTATTTACTATGATTGACCATAATCTAGAATATTTATGACAGAGAAATTTTTCCTCTTTGTTTTCCTTTTTAAATTTTAAATAGCTTGTATCTCTTTGCAGATATTCCATTACATTAATTTAGTAAATATATGCACAACCTCTGTTACCTCCTGTCTGATGCCATGTCTCATCAGAGCATCACCAATCATTACACAGAAGTACCTGTGATTCAGTGAGCTCCTCTGTCAGCAGAGCTCACCAGATGTTGAGTGCTGCTCTTGGAGACTGATTACCTTCCCACACATTTTACAAGCTGATTCACCTGGAGAAGCTGGGCTGGTCAGAGCCCCTCATTCCCATCAGATAATCCTGCTTAGTTGCTGCAGGAGTTATATAAATGTGCTTTGGGCAGAAGAATTCCTTCAGCTCCTCTTGGGCAATGTTACCTAATTTTGTCACTTGTGTGACAGAAACTTTTCCTTCCCAAGGCCAATTCTGAAATGTTCAGCTTCTCACTTCATATTCAAAATTAATACAGAATTCTCATCCTCATGCCCACGAAAAGCTTGAAAGCACAGTCCAGAGACATCTGGTATAGTCTTAGCCAAGAATGGAAATACAAATGATCCAACACAGATAAACATTATAAATCAAATGATTGCTAGGTCAGCTGGAGTCAGGGCAGAAGCACAGTGAGATTTTCACACACTTGTGTTAGGGCAGCATTTAGGTACCGCCTCAGATAGAGCTGGGCAGGACTGGATTACAGCAGTGCAGTGTCAGAAGTCTGGCAAAAGTTTCTTTAGCAACACTCAGCTCAATAAAACATGCAGCATGACAGCAGTGCCCTGCTCTGCTCTCCAGAACATAATTCCATGCAGGTTTCTAGCACAGTAGTAAGTTTAAAATCTACGGGTTCTCTGTTTTTCCCCCAAAAATCACCCCAGGTTCACTTACCACCACAGCTGTGCATATTAAACTTATATGAATGATCCGGAGCTTTGCAGGCTGAGTCACTCCAGGAGGAATTTCTGAGTTGGAAAAATCAAAATTAATTGCCCCTATGACCAACAATATAAATGCAGCAAGAAAACCAGCTAAGAATAACACCAGCACTGTGAGTACAACTGCCATTATGCTGAACTGCAGGGATCTGAGATGTCTTTGATTTGACTTTCCAATATATATTTGTCTTGTTACTTCCTGATTCTTTCTTAATCTTCCTGATTCTTTGTTTGCTCCAGTAAAAACCTTTCTCCTCCCTTTCACAAATACATTAGCAGGTTATCTTTCCCTCTCCCACTTTCTTTCCCCCCCCCCCTGTTATCTCACAAAAGATAAGTTGGCCAAAGTCCTTGATTTGTCAGTAGATCTATGCCAGCAGCGTTTTGGATTTTTTTCAAGAAACCAGTGCTTAACTGGGAGAAAAGTGTTAGGAATGAACGCATTAGTATTAAATTAGTTGGAGGTGGAAAATGGACAGAGGTAATTTGTGTACTTTGAGATTGTGGCACTATAAAACACCCATCTGGAGAGTTTCCTCATGAGTGGGAACCTGCATGGGATGATTGTCCCTCAAAAGGGCCAAAGGGGTTGTCACCAGTGCTCTTTGGAAAGATGCATTAGAAAATTCTGTCAATACCCAAATCTCAGTTCTTTTTAGTATTTGTGCTTTCTTCTAACAGAAGAATATTCTTTTAAAAAGCCACAGGAGGTTGACTTTAGCTTCATAATTAGGTGACCCTCCTGCAGGTAACTTTCAGTAACTCTACATGCAACAAATACAGCTGAGAACGACTTAAGATAACCAGTGATTAAAGAGTTCTGAATCAAACTGCTTTATCTTGCTCTTGCTGAGGAGTAGGATTGTGCTAATGTGGAGGAGGTGTATTTTAAATGATGCAAATAAATTAATCGTGAATCTAAGCCTGCAACTCTTCAAACAACTAGGTTGTCAGAACATTTAAATTGCAAATTCATGGGAAAAGAAAAGAGGTAAAAAATCTAAACTTATTAGGTAGCAATGTGGGAACTTGGGTGTTTTTTTTATTTGTTGTTGTAAAGTCAAATTATAAGTGATGGGGGAAAGTACCATGTTATTTTAGTTACAAAACTTTATAAAAATTTAGTTTCATATTGTTTCTCTAGTGGGAAGGTGAGTGTTTTTAATAGGGCGCATGGTTATCATAAAATAAATAAAATATTCTGAAGTAGAAGAAAATCTTGTTTCAAAAATCAGCAAAAGCCCAAATTTGAAAAAAAAACCCCAGTCCATCCAGCAGTGTCTGTGGATTTTCAGTTTGTATTGTGTTTTCACAGTGGTGTGGTTATGTCCAGTTTTTTGGTAGGTTAATTACTGACCACATCATAGATGTGACCAGGTAAAAGCAGCAGGATTGTGGTCTCTGCCTGTCTGTGTTGTGTTCTTCCTTTCACCACAGGAGGGGTGTTTCAATTGTGTTCATCAGTCAGTATGTGTTTAGCAAATGGAACTCTCACTCTTACAACAGAAATATTTGCAGTCCAGGTTTTTTATTTTGTTGTTGTTGAAAGCATCACAGAATCACCATAACATTACAGTGATAATATAGATAAAATTGTGCTTCTCTGCCTTCTTTACGTGATTTTCAGATTTTTTTCAACACAGCAGAATAGGTAGCCTTGAGCATAAGATAATCTTGAAAGAAAAAAAGGATTATGGAAAAGTCTCATCTCTGCACTTCTCTGACATCCACACACTCATTGAAGTTCAGAGATTCCAGTTTGAGAATGAAGTTCCAAAATGAAACATCATTTCTCAGATCCCAAACAAAATCAAACTCATGCTAGTGGCAGTTTAGGATTTCTGCTCCAGACAGGAGCCTTCCTTTTTGACTTCCCTATTTCTGGAGCAGTGTAGTTTTTGTAGAAACTAAACCTGGAAATTAAATTCATGGCTGCAATTTCAGTGTCTGCTGTAAGACTTCATAGTAGCTGAGTTCTCCATCTGATACCATCAACACCTCTGTCTGTCACAGGGCCAAAGCAGACCTCAGTTGTTGTCTTCAGCATTTCTGGGCTGTTGAAGTATCTTCATGGAGATTCTTGTCTCTTGCCTTCAGTGTGTGCCAGCCATGCAAAGATACTGGAATTGCTGTAGTTTTAGTCAAACAGGATGCATTGACCTTTTCATGTTGGTCTTATTGGTGTGTTTTTACAAGAATATTTTCTAGAATGCTTATTATTATTATTTGAACTAGAAAATTCAAATAATCTTAACATTTGTTTGAGAGTTACTACAGAAGCAGAAATCAGAAACTACAAAATGCAGTCAAAATCCAAACCATAAATGAAAGGTGTTTATATCCCTTGCCAAGTATAAATTCATAGAGATACTGCATGGCTTGCATCTTTCTTCTGAAAAATACTTCTATAAACTGTTTATATAATTCACAATACTGTCCATTATCTTATTTGCAGATAAAAAGGAAAAAATCCCATAGCCAAAAAAGGCTAAAATTCCATGGAAGCCATTCTCACAATGATACCAGGTCACTCGAACACCATTTTCCTCTAGTCTCCTCTTGTATAACAGACCATCATCCCTCAAGACATCAAACTCACAGGTCACAATCAAGGACTCAGGGAGCTGGCAAATAATGGAATCTTCAGCTAATAGTGGGGAAAATGTCATTGCTAAAATTTCTTTGATAGCTTCATGGACTTCAGGTTTATATGATGCAGGTTTGGTTGGTACATAGCCTCTAACCTTAAATTCATCAGGAATAAGGTCAGCACTTACCCATTTCTTATACTGGTGTCTCATACTATCAGGAACATGGCTGTTTTGTAGAACCTCTTTCCAAAATGTGGGTTTTTTGTTAAGGTAACGAAAACAGAAGTAGATGATCATCTTCCGTGACAATATGGGGACAAAAGCATTCTGCTGGTAGGAGGGCAAGTGGAAATCCAGCCCCTGGAGGCCTGGGTAAAGCAGCACCTGAGCACGTACTTTTGGCAGATCTCTGTCATTCAGCAGTATTTGGCAAATAACTGTGGCAAAATTAGCCCCACAGCTGTCACCACTAAGGATGATGAGACCAGGATCCACGTGGTACTCTTCCAAATTCCTCATGAAGTATAAGGTGGCATTGAGACAGTCAAAATATTGCCCTGGGTAGGGATGTTCAGGAGCCAAACGGTACCTGCAATGGCAAAGTGGGGTTACTAACATTCAATTTGTGTTGTTTGCAGTTGCTGTGGTAATTATACAGACTTTTTTTTGTTTTTAATTTTAAAGATTATATTTGGGTTTAACTAATATGGATTGGAAGGCCAAACTAATGATGCTACAGCTATTTTAGAATACTTTGCCTACAAGCACATTTCTAAATTAAATGAAAGGTTTAAGTGAAAAATAGGGATATGATCTAAAGCAGTAAATATTTTCAGCATATTTTTCAGAAGATTTTCAACTGAGAGCTGTATTCCCATAAATACTTCTATGGCAAAATTGCACTTACCCAACAGACACAACCACTGAGTTGCATTTTTTGGCCATATAGCGGCATACTCTTTCAAAGGCTCCTAGAGAGAAAGTTCAGCAGAAATGATGATTTGAAAATCAAATATCCTTTAGAAAAGAAAATACAGATCCCTGAACATGTGCTATGTGGAAGGCACTGCAAGATGATAAGGAGCTCATGCTATGGAACGTGATCTTTACACATTAATACAGTTTCTGTTGGCCAGTGGCTCTCAGGGCATCACACAAGCTTGTAAGGATGCTGATACTGAGGAAACCCAGAAATCTGTCTGGTATGGTCTCACATCTCACTTAGTGGTCAACAAAAGGAGAGTGTAAGCTGAGGACAAACAGGAATAAGGAGCATACAGGAATTTGAGGCTCAGGGTGCTCCTTTGAGACCCAATGCCCTTGATAAGTATTTATTCTGTGAATTACCCAAACCACTTGTTAAGCCCATGATTTTAACCTTAACTATAACAGCTTTGTGCAAGAAGGAGCTCTCTCACTTGCTTACAAAGGTGTGAGGAGCCATTTCTAGTTGCTCCTTTTGTACCTGGCACTCACTGCTTCCACATGGTGGAATTCTTGTACTGTAAGAAATGGTGGATAAATCCTTCCCTGTTTAACTTCTCTTGCTTCTCATGATTTTGTAGTCACTTCATGTATCTGTCTTTATGCACCTTTTGCAGCCTGAAGAGTCATAATTCATTCACATATTCTCTGCCCAGAAGCACTTTCCTCACCTAGGCAGCCTCTCCAAGTCCTTCCAGTACTTCTTTATCATTTTTGAGGAGTGGGAAGCAGAACTGTAAGCTCTATACTGTATTTAGATATACCATGGATTTATTACAGTGGCATAAAAAAGTTTCCTGTTTTGTCTTTCCTTTCCTACTAATAATTGCTAGCATTTTGTTTGCTTTTTGGCTGCTACTGTGCACTATGTCAACAATATCAGGTAACTTCCTACCATAACTACCAAGAGCTCCTTCCTGCTCCTGCTTGGAGTCTGTTGCTTCATTTATAAGATCAGAATGCTCTGTTCATCTGCTTGACTTTTCTACATGCCATTTCTCCTGTCATTTTATTCTCTGATCCTCTGCTGTCATAAAGACATTCTGCAGTTTTTCAGCCATCCATTTATGACCCTCAGAGGATTTAATACCACATCACCCTGTTTGAATAAATCGATTGAATACATTGATTATCACTGCTCCCAGTACAGATCTCCTTATGGGAATCTCACAGGAACTTCCCATAACCCATCTTTTTTCTGTCTTTCAATCAGCTGTAATCCAAATTAAAGACCTTCCCTCTTGTGTCATGGGTGTGTAGCCTCTTTAGGAGACTCTTCTGGAAATCAAAGTGGGTTTTAGTAACTCAGTCTCCTTTATTCATGTATTTGCTGACTTAAAAAAAACTTAAATTGATGAAACTGATTAAGAGTGGGTTTAGATTAGAAATTAGGAAGAAATTCTTCACTGTGAGGGTTGTGAGGCCCTGGCACAGGATGCCCAGAGCAGCTGTGGCTGCCCCATCCCTGGAAATGTTCAAGGCCAGGTAGGACAGGGCTTGGAGCAGCCTGGGATAGCAGGTGTCCCTGCCCATGGTGGGGACCTGGAATGAGACTTAAGGTCCCTTCCACCCAAACTATTCAACAATTCTAGGATTTGAGAAGTATGACATGCATTTGAGGAATAAGCCGTAGTTATCTGTCCACTGATTCTTTTCAGTGTAGCATCTTAATTTGCTGGTTGCAGACTTCAGGCTTGCTAGGCTGGGGATTCCCAAAGGCCTTCTGAAAGCTTGTCATCATTGTTGTTTTCCTGTTATCAAACACCAAAAGGAATTGAAGCCAAAGGTCAGGTCCCACTCTCTGTGTACAGCTATGGCTGTTACATCAAGCCATGCCACGTGAGCAGGGACTCACTGTGCAACTTGTGGTGTGTTTTATCCTTCCAGTGAGAGGAATTCACCTGCCGCTGAGATCACAGAGAGCCTGCCATCCCTGGAGTCCTCACTGCCACCCAGACTAGCTCTAGACACGAGCCTGGCATTCCCCCCAGGCTCCTGTGCCCTGAGTACAGCAGGGTGGGTTATCTGTGCAGAGGGGAACCCATGGCACAGGAGTTATGTTGTGATTCCTAAATGGGGCTGAAGGATGCCAGGAAATTCAAGTCTGCCCAGTATAGTGCAGACCTAGCCTTGGAAACAATAAAGGATTCAAACCCCTCAAATTGCACTGCCTGACCCCTGGAATGAAGTTCAGATTTCGATGTTAGGTGCCTTGGCTTGCAGAGAAGGCACTTGGAGCCTTAGCAGCTCAGAAGGAGATGCAGAGCACTCAGGGAGCTGAACTCCCAGCTGCTGAGACAAAGGCTGTCTCCCTTTCTGGAAAAGAAATCAAGTATCCTGTGCCATGTCACCACAAAAATCAAACTTCCCCAAATTGCTCCTTCGTTATTTATATTTTCCTTCATTTGGATTCCTTCTTTGCATGAATGGAAATTTATTTACAGATTTTTTAAAATTTATTTAAATCTTTCCTTGGACCCATATAATATATTTTGTGTAAGATAGGGTAGTCTTAGTAGAGCAGCATCCCTCACTGAGAGCTGAGAGCAGGGTGAGGGAGGAAATTCTTCAGATGGGTGTTTCATTGTGCCACAAACTCAAAGCACACAAATGCCCTCTGTCCATTTTCCACCTCCAACTAATTTAATACTAATGCTGTTCATTCATAACACTCTTCTCTCAGCTAAGCACTGGTTTCTGGATCTCTTCCCCAAAGGAAGCAGAGATGGGACTCTCTTTAACACAATACTATTCATTCCACAAATACTTTCCAGTTTGTGCTGAGCAAAGACTGATGACACTGAGAAGGACAGGGCAGACATTGACTGACACATGCCTGAAGCAAAAATGTAAAGGTTTGGATTTGACTTGAAAAATAAAACTTGCCCATTTCTTACTAATACTCCCAAATGTGCCAGCGCCTCCATGAAAATAGAGAATTCCTCTTCTTTTGCCAGTGGGTGGGCTTTTGGGCTGATAAATCCTCAAGGGTACCTCATCTACTGTGAGATCTTTGATAAGCAGTTTGGAATCTCTCCATGGAGGAATCCCATTGACCGCTGCTCGCAGTATGGTTAAATCATTGCAGATCCCCAGCTTCTCCAAAATCTTTCCCTGTTGAAAAGAAAGAATTTGGAAGAAGAGGAGTAACGTGCTCTGAGCAGTACATTATTCTATGTACATGCAGTTCAATATGTACAGGGTACATCTAGGTATTTGTTTTAAATTTCATATAAAACAGCAGAAAGTGGCTGCAGTTTGACTGAAAAATCTAAAGAAGCTTTTAAGATTAGTAATATTAATTTTATGAGATAATTTACCATGTTTTGGATTCATATATCAATGCTTACAGGCTTCAGGAATATGAATTATTTGGTTTTTTTTTTTTTTCCCCTCAAGTAATACATTTTCCTCCTGCTCCCAAATATCCTACCTAAGCAAAAGTGAAATCCCTAGGTTAAGAAATTCAACTTACCGTGACCATGGTCGTGATCATCAAGGAGTGGAAAACTCGAAGCTTTAGAGGTTGCTCAATTCCAGGTGGCACTTCTGTGTTGAAAAAATCATATAATACAACTCCCCAAAACAGTGCTGGTACTAAAACAGGAGAAATAAAAAACATTCCTATAATTGCCAAAGTTGTATAAACAGATGCCATTTCACTTCAAAACAGGAGTGAATGCTATGAAACTGGGTTAAGCCCTGTTTTCAAGTACATCTAAGGTGTCTTCACAGAAGACTGAGTGCTCACTTCATATGCAGAAATTAAATGTTTATTAATGTTGCAATGCAATGTAATGCAATTTTCTCCACCCTTCTTTTGCTAATGATATTATTCACAACACTTGGGTACTTTCTTTATACCCTTTTCAAAAGGTAGGATTCAAACTGTATGGAAGTGATTAATATGATGAGCTTTTCACTAATAAGGAGAAATTATTATTCAGAGGGGCCTTGATTTGGAGATGGTCTTTTTGGTTTGTAGTGGATTCATTTTGGATGGACATTGTTAAATTTTAGTGATGTGGGGCTACCTGGATTTGTCATCAAAGCATATATACACTTCTCTGAGAAGAAAAATACTCAAATACAAATACAAAAAGTTTTAAAAAAACTTTTTCATAGGGGAATGACACACTCATGGTTTAATTTTTGTTTAAATAAGAGTATATTTGCTCTGTGTTCAAAATCAGTGCAAGCCTGAATGTACACAAAGGTCTCTCCAGACACTTGAGAGTCTGTTTGTGGATTGAAGCCACTGTTGCTGCTGGTAAAAGCTTTTTAGCAATTAATCCTCAGAGTTTCATGTTCACTGTAATTCTTGTTTGCAGTTCAGTGTAGAGGCATTATGAATACATATGTATTGGTGAGGGATTGGTAACAGTTGGTGGCACTTGTTTGGTGAAGTAATTTTTCTGGTTTGTGTTTTTCTTATTAGAATTATGTTTTCTACACAATTTAAAATTTACAGCTGCCAAACATTTTGTGTCCTTGGCTTTTAAAGTGGAATTTCAGTCTGAAAACTGAATTAGTCTTTAGTTTCATTAGCACAATATTTAAATCAAAGCAACACTGACAGCTGATTTGCACAACATTGGCTTGTGAAGGTAAGGATGTGTGGGATGAAGCAATGTCATAAATTTGTGCCAAGGTTTGTGAAATAGGGAGATCATTAGAGCCTTTTCTGGGCTGAGATTGGCTGATTTGGAGCATTTTCCTTCTACATAGCACAAATTTAGGATACAAGTAGTTAAAATGTTAGACTGCAGAGTATTGAAGCCAAAGCCAGATGCCCATGGCCAGTGCTCAGCTTGTCCTGAGCTCATCAGATGTTCTCCACAGGGCTCTGCAGCACAGCTGGGGCAGCCCAGTGGTGTTTGTGGTCGTTAGTTCTAGAAATGTTTCCCTGTAGTGTGATATTATGGCACAGCCTCTGGGGATTGGGCTTTGTTTTGCCATATATTCCTGTAAGAACAGCACGGTTTACCTAAGTGCTTATTTCTGATGTCTGTGCCATCAGTCAGAATATCCTGAAGTAAATTCTCACATGGATATCAGCTCTGAATCTTGTATTTCAGCATTCTTGATGATTTCTTATATTTGAATCCTCAGAGGAAGCAATTTCTGTGCTTTCTAAAGAACCTTTAATCAAGAATAAAATAATTCTTAAAGGTACTTAGTACTTCAGTGGCAGTAAATGAAACTTGTAAAGGTGACAAAAGGCAATTAAACACCTGCTATTTAAGTGATCAGATTATGAAAGCCTTATACCAAAGAGCACATGTCTGTCTGCTGTTACCTCTATGAGCTCTTGCTGACACTGTTTTGACACAAGATTTCTTCTCCTATTCAGTGAGTCAGTAATTAATCAGCTTTAATCAAAACCAAAACACCTCACACATGCCACCTCTGTTTTGAAACCTTGATGGACCTGATAGAGTAGGAGGAAAAATTGCTTTACTGTCTTTTTACTTAAAAATAAATTTACAAAGGGACAGTTTGGAGTTTTTTGTTCATTTGGTTTTTGTTGTTAGGCCCTGGCAGTTATTTACAGAATCTCTTGTACAATTATGACAATCTGAGCAAAAATCTTTCAGTTCTGCATTACAGCCTTTCTGTTGTTAAAGAAATGTTGGTGAACCAATGTTTCAAAATAATATCCTAATGTTTTAATCTCTTAATATATTATAATATTAGAGTATACTCAGCATGTGAACTTAGAGCATGTTCTATCTCTGTGCTGTTTGCACCTCCAGTCCTCCTTGCCCTGTTAACTCAATGTCCAGGTTTTTTCCAGAATCAAGCAAATCCCATGGTCTGAGAGCAGCTTGGTCCTTCTGGGAATGTTTATGTTGACAAGTGTGTGATCACACTTGGTGCTTTATATTCCATATATATCATCTATTTCCAGTCTGGCCAGCCATTCCTGTACCCACAGGATGGGTAGGAAATCTATGGTCAGTGTCAGATTCTCAAGTTGTTACAAAACAGTCAGTGAGGTTTTCGGTGGGTTTTTTTCCCAGTTGTTTTTGAGGTGGTAAATATCCAAAGAATGTTTTTATTTTATTTGAATCCACTGCATTAAATGAGTACCTTGTATCTTCACAAATAAAAAGGCTTCTTCTCTATCTGGCAGTAGAGAGGTTGTTCTTTAAATGGTGGATGTTTGATGTGTTTTGCTAGAGCCATATTTTTGTTTTTCAGCAAACTCATCCCCAAACCCCAACTTCCACAAAGTCTTTACCTATTGATGAGAACACACTTGCCCTAACTAAAGGTTGATGAGATTCCACTAAACCAGAGAAAATGAACACAGTGTGGAGTTTGACATTGTAATGAGAGTTGTGAGCCTCATGTGGTTCTTTATTGTTATTAAACAGCTACTCAGAGCTCACAAAATGATTCTTTATTCATTGAACTTGGTGTTGCTGGAATTTAATTGGTTAATGTAGTCCTTGATGAGTACAGAATTGACAATAGTTGGGTAAATGCTTCCCATTTTCTCATCAGCAAGTCTCCATTTATGCATTCTAAAATTCATTCTCTTTTTGATTTTTCAGCATATTTCTAATAGTTATAGTAATGATGGGAAGGGGAAGTACAATAATCATACCTACCCAAAGAAATGTGGTCTTTGCAGGTTTTCCCAAGATTCAGCTTTGTGGATTTTCTAAAGCTTCACACATAGCTTTGTAGGCTGAGAATGTGTAAAACTCATCAATTTCCCCTTAATTATTAGTGGAAGAGGCAGGGGCTGACAAACCCAACACCCTGCAAGGCAGGAGCACTCAGGGGAGTTGTGCCAATGAATTCTGTGATTGTCCTGAGTTATTGATTTTCTTGTGAAGTCTTTCTAAAACATTACAACACATTTCACTTGTGTTGCAGGCTGTTTCCAACACTGCTAACCTGCAGTCATTTGACTATTGCAGAGTTTCTCTGTGTAACACAGGAAATCCTATGATGAGTAACTGAAGCATTGTAAAGTAGTCAGCTGTGATGACTGAGTATTGATTCCAGCAGGTATAGCCAGGAAGCAGAAAACAGGAAAAAATAACATATCACAAAGCAAATTTAAACCCAGAAATAATAGCTTCTGATAGAGTTCTTTATTTTTTTAATGTTCATTTCAAAGTGAAACACTCTGGTAAATATAATTTGCCTTGCTTTTAAAAATGATTCTTATTTCCTCTAGGTAATTGAGCAGAGCAATTAGAATCTGTAGAGTACTTTAACTGACTTTGTTTTTATCACTTCAAGCATGGGAGGAACTTGCCATACTTCAGTTCACATTTCTTCATTTCACATTATGCAAACAACTGACTGAAGGCACTCAGAGCTTTTCATACCTGTAAGCCTGGGTCTTCTGATCTGTGAGATAGATTTAATATGCCCTTCACAGTGACAATAAAAAGCATTAAGAAATGACAGCTTAGTACATGCTGTACCATAGTGGTTTTTAAAGGTGCTGTGTATTTGCTTCGGCTGCCTCCTACCTACCTTTCAGTGTCCTCCCTTCTTGTTATCTCCATCTCCCCACCCAAATAAGTAGTTAGTTCCTGTATGCTTTGCTCTTACAACAGAAAGCCACTTTGCACTTGGCATAAATCTTTATTTTAGCCTTTTCTTTCTGCCTTCTCTTCTTTGAAGTCTGTCCCTTCCAAATAACTCCTAGGCTAAACAGCTGCTAACAAATTCTGGAGTAAAAAGCTGTACTGTATTAAAAAAAAAAAAAAAAAAAGACACATGTTATGTATTGGCATTCAATGATGGAAATTCAGATCTTGTGTTGTGCAGTTCAGAGCAGGTGCATTTTTGAAATGCTTATTTAACTGGAGGGGTTTGTAGAGCAGCACTGGGAAATGTGGATGGATTGTTGGGTGTCTGTGTCTCTGTTACTGTGCAGTTCTGTTCCTCAGAGTGAATGAAATCTGCTTCATACATATGGATTCCAAAAAGCTGCTCTGGAGCATCCACTTGGGATTTCATGGCAGGTCATCACATCAAAATGAATCTTATTAAATCAGAAGTTGCTTGAAGGTAAATATAACAGCTTCAACTGCCCTTCTTTGCCCATGGCCAGGTTTGTCTGAGTCTCAGTATCCCAGATATTCAGGCTAGCAGTGTCTGCACTCTCACAGGAATCAGCAAACACAGGGAATAACGGAGACAAGGAAAACAGCAATAAAAACAGCCAGAGTTTGCAGGATTCTGCCTGAGCAGTGCAGAGAATGGGTATCAAAGGCAGAGAATAGTGTTAAATAACTTTATTTATAAATAATAGAGCTAGTAAACTTGGAATGTTTTCTAATTTCCTGTTTATTTTAAAAATGCTATGGTATCTGAGTTGTAACTAGTGGGGTATAAAGAGGTAATGTGAAGACAATAAAGCAGAGAATAACTGAAGTTGTAAACTTCTATAATTCACCACTCCAAACTTGATTGGTTAGAACAGGTAATCTAAAGCTGTTATGGCTTAATATGTGCTCTGTTATTAAACAGAAAGCTTCAGGCTATGAAGGCATAAGAACAAGTTCAGTAAAATATTGAAATCAAACCACAGTTTGACCTTTGGTAATGTGTGTCAGGTACTCACATTGTGTGCCCAGAGCACAGAGAGGTTTTCCAGGTTATTACAGACTCAGCTGATGCTGACATCTGCTGATGAAATGATGCAGGGCAGTTTGCTTTCCCTTCCTTCATTTCCTTCAACATCTTCCTGTCACACAGAGCAGCTCAAAGAGTGTCAGGCCCTCCCAGCTGCACTGAGCTTCCCAGCATCTCACTGCTTTTCAGGTTTCTCACAGGTTTTCAGGTTTTGACAGTGTTCCAATCTACTCCTGGATCCTTTTATTTGTGTTACAATGCTCATGGGCAAACTCTAGAGACCAGTTAAAGAAATGTGGCTATGGCCACCTTCTCTGGGGTTAATAGCTCTGGATGGACCAGCCTTGTCCCCACCCTGTTCCTGTCTGGAGGGCAGCTTGGGCTGTCACTTCACTCAGGGTGCAAACTCAGGAGGGAATTATCACCTCAGGCACCCCACCCTCCTCCCTTGAGGAATGAATTAGTGGCTTTTGTCAAGATGGGAAGGAACTGCCACAGCTAAGGAAACTTACTTGTCAACATTGTGTTTTCCTAAGTTCTTCATAGGCAAAAACTCATCAATAACTCAGGAGCTCTCTGGGTTTTAAAAAAAATAAATCTGTAATATCTTCATCAGATGGTCTTTGGGGTGTAATACCCATCAGAGGTTTGACAGCTGTCAGCCTTTTTGTCAGTCTGACTCATTGTCTATTTTAATGTCAGGAATGTAGTGCTCTATCACTTTATGGACAAACTGCCACTGGTGTCATGTGAGCATTCGTGGCATGGGTTGCTCATGTGGAAAGCAGGAAAACAGGCATTCAACAATGTGCATTCAACAGCACAACAACAGTGTCAGTGTGTGCCTAGCAATCAGGAAAACATTGGAGATTTTCTGAGCTTTATGCTTATTGCATTGTATTCATTCAGAGATGCCATATGGAATATCCCTATAAAATTTCCCCTTTTTCCTGACTACTGTGTGAGTGTAACTAAATGTAATTCATATTGTTCTGGCAGGCTTTCTTTGCTCATATGCTGAGTGTAAATAGCCATGCAGAGCATTGCAGGAAAGCCCTTCCCTTGGTTGTAGGGTGTATTCTGTTGGATCATGTGTCTTACATAACTGTCTGCAGCAGCCTTGCTTTTGGTTATAGTTCAAATGAGCCAGTGGGGGGCAGAAAACACACAGAGTAATATCAGATACAGAGAATATTCTTGGAAAATTAAAGAGCTAGAAATTTCCCTGACAAGAATGGTGGTAATTTCATTGTGGGTGGTGTTCCAGGTGTTAATTTAGGCAAAGACAGTCAGAAGTTTTGGCTGTCAGTAAAACTGCATCCTCACCCTGGTTTTGATTCTTCATGGAAATGCATCCTGCCTCCAAGTAGAACTTACTGAAGAATTTGAGACAATGGAGTCTAGTGGCATCATAAGTTATTTTAATTCAGGACATAAGTTTATAACAAAAACTGAAACAATGACACTGTTCCACAATTATACATTCACCTCAGAATGGTGTAAATAAAACATTTACTGACATTTCTGGCAATACTTGAGGTCATTTCTGAGAAAATAGCTTTATATTTTTGTAATGCCATTTTATTTTGTGTTGGTTTCCTTGCTCTTGTAAACAGTTTAAGACTGACCTGAACTTTGATTTTTATTTTTTTTTTTAATTTTCTCAATCATTCTCCTTTCTCCCCAATGGCACTTGACACTGTCTCTCAAAGGGAGAGTCCTTCCTGCATCAGGCAGTGCTGGCCTACACTTTGTAAAGGAACTGATAATACTTTACATTCCCATGTATCTATTATCTATATATAAAATGTATATGCATTTTTTTTAATAGATGTTGTTTTCTTTAACCAATACTTGTTATAACATCTGTAGTTCCAGGTCTGCCATTTCCCTCTCTTCCTCTCCTTCTCTTCCCCTTCTTTCATTTCTGTCTTTGTTATCCTGCTACATTCAGTTCTTTTTAAGCTTGTCTCAAATTGAGCTCTCACCAGATACAGGCTTTCTTAAGTCTTCAACCATACTCTTTACATACTGATCCTGTAGATCCACCCTATTGCCTGCCCCAGCTTGTTTTCAAATGTGGTTTGTGTTCTGATAGTACCAGAACTTCACTGAACCAGACCACATTGCAAACCCCATGCTATAAGGATGAGATCTTTAATGGCTACAAGAGAGAACTGAAGAGCTGGCAGAGGAAAGAAATGTAAATTCACCTGATTTTGCCTCTCCTGAGAGAAAATTAAGCAAAGGCCATCATGCAATCAAATTAGTGGGTTGAAAGAAGACAGATGCAATGCAGAAATTTAAGGTGATGATTTAAGGAAAGGAAAATTGAGGATTTTAAAAAAATAAGTTTGTAAGCAGAAAGAGAAAGGAATCAGGAAAAGAAAGCAAGAAATGGAATTTTACAACAATCTTAGAAAACTTACAATCTTTTGCAGGCCTTTAGCTCCAGAGCGGAATCCTAGCACCTTACCAAAAAGTGCTAAGAACACTGTTCCATGGAACCCCTCCTGCAGATGGCACCAGGTCACTTTTATTCCATGGTCCTCTAATCTTTTCTTGTACAGCAGTCCATCATCTCTGAGCACATCAAATTCACAGGTCAAAATGAAAGTCTCGGGAAGCTGAGCAATCACACTGTCTTCAGCCAACAGTGGTGAAAAAACAGGGTCAAACATGGGCTCAGAGACTTCACAGACTTCTTTTGAGGGTAGATATGTTGGACTTGGTTTGTAACCTCTTGTTTTAAACTCATGAGGGATGTAGTCAGGACTCACCCACTTCTGATATTTCAGTCTCCTATCTTCTGAAACATGGCAGCCTTTAAATATTTCTTCAATGATGCCCAAGTCCCCATTAACATACTTCAAGCCAAGAACAAGGGTTCGTTCCTTTAGCAAAATGGGGACTCCCTTATTCTGCTGATAAGAAGGCAAATTTAAGTCCACACACTGCAGAAAAGGATATATTAGGATTTGTGCTCTCAGCTTTGGGAGATCTCTTCTGTTCACCAGTGCTTGGGCAACAGCAGCAGTGAGTGTCCCTCCACTGCTGTCCCCACAGATGGCAACACGGGAAGGGTCAACTCCATGGTCTTGTGCAGTCCTCAGAAAGTGGATGGTAGCAGTGAGACAGTCCTCAAACTGGGCTGGAAATGGGTGCTCAGGAGCCAAACGATACCTAAATAAGAGTGAAAGTGTTTTAGCACAGCCATTTCTAGTGAATGGCCCCAGTGGAATCTTGTAATTCATTTATTTCTCTCAAAAGACAGGAAAATACTCTGTGATTATAATTGCAGCAATAGGATTCATCCAAATTAGTGGTTTTGATGTATTATTTGCTACTGTTCATGTTTGGGAGAGTCAGTACACTGTTCTACCTTTGCAAAATAGTTCTTTACATATCCTGTAAGTGACTGAAGGCATATGACAGTTGTTTTGGAATTAGCTGGCAAGGCAGGTGTGTCAATCAGTTATCATTTATTCCAGTCAGAAAATGAACATTTAACAACAAATTGTTAGAGAATATGAACATAGGAAATATGAGCATAGAAAATCGATAATGAAAATCTGAAAGGTTTTCAGTGTTCTGGAAGCTGAATTCTTTAAACAGAATCAATGAGTTATTGGTTCTTCAAGTATTTTAGGATATAAATAGCAATTAGTGCAATTGTAATCAACTCTTTGCCTGGACTTTTAGACATTGTTTCTTTTAAAAAAGTATTACAACTCATCAGAGAAATATTTTTAATGGTCATCTGAGGTTGATTACAAGTTAAATGTGGATTTCCTTGTTCCATTTCTTCATGCAGATGCATCATGCCTGTGTGTATAATTTACTGAAAAATTTAAGACAATGGAGTCAAGTGTATAAATTCCTTTTGAGAGTAGATATGTCAAGCTTGGTTTGTAACCTCTTGTGTTAAACTCACGAGGTTCTTGGATTTTTCAGAACTTCTAAAATGAATTATTTGGTGTTCTAGGCAACTGTTCAAGAGAAACAGCCTAAGGTGGTTTGAATAGGGCTCTAGAAAACAAAAACATCCTCATGTCTATAATTTGCTTGCTACAAATTATAAAATCACTCTAATGGATTTCATTTGGAAATAAACAGTTGGGGATTAATTGACTAATTCTTCCTGAAAGGAATTAGTGCTGGTGAAAGGCATGGGATCATTAAGGATAGGTACTGATTGTACTTCAGAAGGAGCTTGACTGCAGTAAAGGCTTGCAAACCTAGGGTCAGAATCTGGGCTGGGTCCCCTTACCCAACAGACACCACCACGGAATTGGTCTTCCTGCAGAAATAGCGGCACTTTCTTTCATAGGCCCCTGTAAAACAGAAGAGTTCACTGGAATTGTTGCTTGCTTTAAAAATAAATGGAATGAAAATATTCTGAAATTATTCTCTCTCTTGCATGGCTAATGCTACAGAGCATGTGTGGCATATGGCATGGTCAGATCTGGGCATTGCTCACCCTCTCCTTACAGCTGTGAGAATCTTCTGGCTAGTAAGAAACATAGAATTTAAACCAATGCATTTGTTTTGGTTCCCTCTTTGAAAAGTTACAGACAGCACCACTGCTGCCACTTTTAAAGTGATTTTGAAGGGGAGAAATTGTTTTTTAAAAAGCAACAAAAAGTCTGCTAAATCCAGTACAAGAATATTTCTTGTGCATGAGGCACCATCTCATCTCTTTCCCATTCACATTCCAAAATGTGGTTTTTCCTTGTTTTTCCACTATAAAGACATACAGCATGATACACATATACAAGCTTGCACACACTTGTGAACAAAAAATGGCTGCTTTAGGTAAGAAATAAAATAATAAGGAGATTTTCAACTTTTATCCTAAGCATAAAGAGAAAGAAAATAGATATTAAAAAGTATCAGAGACCATTCTAGATATGCAATCTATATAAAGACAATTTAACATGATGCCTATTGCATGTAAGTAGATTGATTCTGCTGTCCTGATTTTTTTATTTATTTATAATGTTAAACCTACTAACTCTTGTAATTTAAGATATAGCAAATCAGATCAGGAGCTCTGTGGTGTGTGGTTGTGCAGTGCCCCTCACAGGGGATATTCTAGAGCTGTGTGGACACAATCCTGTGCCCTGTGCTGTGGGATGGCCCTGCTGGAGGAGAGAGGTGGGACCAGATGATGCCTGTGGTGCCTTCCCTGACCCACTCTGGATGCTGCATGCAGTTATAGCTCATATTATTTATGTTACTTACGGATACTTCCAAACCGGCCAACTCCTCCATGAAAATAAAGAACTCCCCTTCTTAGGTTTTTGCTTGATGTTTTTAGCTGGTAAATTCTCACTTTAACCCTTTCAAACCTTAAGTCCTTGATAAGAAGGCGACTGTCCTTTAATGGTGGTATTGTCTCCATTATAACCCTGAGGAGATGGACCTCTGAGATTACACCTACTTTGTCCAAAAATGTTGCCTGGTAATAAAAGAAACCACAAGAGACCAAATTAGTGTAAGTTTCTATCTAACCTGGAGATTGATAATGAAAAATTTTAAACTCCATGGTCAATTCAGTAGGAAAACAATCAAATTATCAATAGTAGATAAAGGGTGTCAAATACTTCACCTTGTCAGGTGTTTCAGTAACCATGTGCCTGAACAAAATACAGAGACAGTAGTTTACAGTATTTTAAACTTTAGCTTTGGATGAAGAAACATAGCCAAGACTTTTGTTTCCCAGACTTGCAGGGAAAAAAGATCCATACAATCTACCACATCTCTGTCCTTCTGACCAAGAACAGCTTTGAACCCAGGCTTGATCATCTCACAGCTCACTGATTCTTACTTAAACACTCAGCCTCAGGTTCTTATGTCACTGTGGGCTCATCTACTCCATTGCATCTGCATGGCTATAAGCTGTTTCACTTGTAGCCTACTCTAGTCTATTCCTGCTCAAAATGAAAAATATGAGACAGTATCACTGTATTTCCACAATATTGGATTCAATTTTGCACTATTTCCACAGCAGACATCTCTAATGGGTTTGTTGTGCTGCCATTATTCATGCATATGCATTTAAATGAGAATTATACATATAAAGGTCTGCACTGCTTAGATCCTAAAAACCTGCCCTTGTGGTTTTCACCTCATATTTCACAGACCTCATGTGGCTCAGTTAAATTTGATGTAGGTATCCTATTTTAGGTCATCTGCAGAGCTGATCCCATACACAGGAAGGATTGTCTGGTGGCAAAGTTACAGTCTCATATAGATTCCTTCTGTAGAACTCCTGGTCCTTATCCGTGGGAAAACAACTTTACTTATTTATTCTTCAATTTCCCTCTGGTGCTTTCTTTCCTCACAGTAATAATTTTGTAACAGTAAAGGTTAAACCTCCAATTAGCTATATCTGCATGGAATATAAAGAGATCATCTTTGTCTTGAAAATACTGAAAAAGGAGTCCTGGGAGACCTTATCAACCACAGTGTTTTGGTGTTGCCTTTTGTCCCAGCTAAACACTGGATATACTTGTACACTTTAATTTTTCATGCAGTTTTGACTTCATGGCTTGTCAGCCCTTGAAAGAATTTGGCACAAGTAATTTGCCCAACAGCCATAGCAGGAGTTGCTACATGACTTGAACTCTACTTGCATTTAAACTTTGCTTTAACCCTCCATTAATGTCCTTATCTCTCTGCTCCTTTCAGGCAGTATCTGACTGTGCTTGTGCTTGGCTCTCACTGGCCAGCAGAAAGCATGCAAAATTGTAAGATCAGAAGTTAAAAATTACATTTAAAAAGCAGTGTGGAGGCCTGGGTGTGGCATCAGAGACATGGTGTGAGTCACCTTCTTGGGAGCTCACTGACTTCAAACAAAACTTACCAAGCAATGGGGCAGGTAAAGAACGGAAGAATTAACAACATTAGAACATGGAATTGAAGTGAAATGTCATGCATGAGCCAAAAAGACTGAACAGGTTTTTTTCATACTTTAAACAACTAAAAGAAGCTTAGTCTAGGTATCACAGAAGGGTTTGTTTTCTAAATGACTGGGGCGACAGTTAATTCAGGATGATTGATGAAGCAGAAAGACAAGTGCATGTCATGTTTTAGTTTTGAAAAGAAACAAGGATGAAAAGCGAGGAAGGATCAAAAATGTGCCAAAAACAATGACATAGAAAGTCACTTTAGGTATTATGTGTACTGTCTCAAAGAAGAAAGTTGGTCAGGCATATTGAAAGGCAAATGATGATGAATGTGGCAGCTGTCTTCAGATGCCTCAGGAGGAGAATGACAGAGTTGCAGAGAAGAGCTGAGATCACAAACATCATTTAGCTGCTCACTCTGTAAGCAGGCACGGTGTTATACAGAGCAGAAATTCCACATACACAGGGCAAGCTACCTTCTAAGCCTTCCAGCAGTGCCTTGAGGCAGCAGGCATGAAAAGCTAAAACACAGACCTTCAGGAAAATACTAGGAATTGCACAGTCTGCCCAATTTTAGCTTTCACAAATACTGCCTTTGGTGCTGTATAGCAAAGAGGCGAGTCTGTTATGCCCAGCACAGCTGAAAGAATCTGCTTACATCACCTAATCAGTCCAATTGCATATTTGCAACTTATTTAAACATTGATTTTAAAAAACATCACCAAACCATTATCCCTCTAACAGAAACAGAATTAAAAACTCAAGCTTTAATTAAGGTTTACTTACCAGACCAAGCCCAAAGTTCATTAAGTAATGAAGAACATAAAGCTTTTGGCGCTCACTGATTCCATGAGGGATTTCTGCTTTGGGGTGTTCATAATAGAAAGCAATTGCCACAATACCAGTCAAAACAGCAAGAAAAATGGCCAGGAGAAGTTCCATCTTGCTGTGTTGGTAGGAGCCTGAGAAGGAACCAGCTGTGGCCTCTTCTCCCTTTTCCAGACTTCAAGACTTCTGCAGGTAAAAGTACAAGATTAGTTGTTTTCGTCATGGTTTATAATCCAGTTTCAAAAATGCCGATAGGAAGATAAAAACATGTGGTAACCAACCATACAATTAGACAGTAACAATTAGTTGTGGGAGAGGCTTGCGCAAGGGTTTTCACATTTGCAGGAACAAGGCTGTCCCATCACAGCAGAGCTATGACTTGTGTAGTGGCAGTTTATGGGAAGACAAAAGCTTGTTCTGTCTCTCTGGTTTTTGGTTACAGGCAAATGTTTATTATTTGTGAGTTCCTGCACAGCATTTCTTGGTAATCATCTTCTGAGCTGCCCAGATTCTTGCGTCGTTGTGCCTCCATGCCTCACTTTTTCAGACTTTTATTGAAATCGAGGCTCAGTGTCACAAACGTGTTTCATCACCTGTGTGGCAAATTTTGGATTCTGCTGACATTGTGTCTTTGAGTCCAGTGGAGCAAGAGGCAGCTGCAGCCTGGTCTGAGAGCTGTTCTTGCCTCATCCTCCTCAATGGCTCTTCTCCTGCAGCAGCAGATTTTTGTTTGGGTTTTTTTCCTGCCTCTTGGCAGTGCTGCAGTCTCTGTCTTCCAGGAAGATACTATGTACAGATGTCATTCCAGGTAGAAATATGATTCCAACTGCTGAAAACTAGACATGAACTTCACAGTGTCAGGGCTAGTAGCATTGACTAGGCATCAGCAGCCCACTCTTTTCTGTGGTGAGCTCTAGGATCTTCCTCTGGAGCTAACATATTTTCCCATACACAAATAATTAGTGAAAAGATTTAACTTGAAGCAAAAAATATCTGTAAAGGACAGCTCATGTGATGTCACCTTTGGGAACAGTGTTTTTAGCAGCCTGCTTAGCCTGTGAAGGCAGCACATTCTCATTCTGAAAAATCACAGTGTGGATACAATAAGTCTGTCATTTTTTTTTCTTAAATACTAATAAAATAATATAAGGGATGAGCTGTCCTTGAATTGTAGAATAAAATGAAACTAAAGACAGAGAACCCCAGGGCTTTAGCATGCATAGTCCATGACCTGCAAAGGAAATGGCTCAGACTTGATACCTGACTTCAGAAACTGTTTAGAATAAGCAGGTTGGAGTTCATTTTTGAGTCTGGTGTTACACTTTCTGAGAAGCAGCTGATTCCATGTTCTGCTCTCTCTTTCTTCCAAACTGTTTCTTCATTTTATTGAACAACTCTTTGTGGATTTTCATTTCCCAATGTCCCTGTGCCTTTCCCCCCCTTGCCAGAAGGTTATTCGTATGGTAAGTGTAAAATCACATCCCTTTTTGTTTATCCTTCTGGAGAATGGCATTTGATGTCCATGTTGATAAGGGATTTAGGTAAAAGGCACATTGCCTGGCAACTGGGACACTCTTGGGAAATGGCGGTGCACAAAGCATTCACCTTTCTTGCAACTCAGGCAAGAGCATTGGGAAATGTTGTTGCACAAAACACAACTCCCTTCTTCAGCATTTGATAGTGCAAGGCATTAATTGGCCTATGCTAAACTCTGTCCCAGTGGGTGAGCTGTGGTCTGAGTATACCCACCAGATTTGGCCCTTCTGGGGATCTAAGAATGCGCTTGACACCTGTGACAGATCCTTTGTACTGCAGTTCTTGCCACCTATGGTTCTTCTGTGATCTAAATCTTTTTGGTGCCAATTCACCCACAGCTGGTAGGTCTTAGACTCATTAGGGCACCTTTACAAGGTCTGGACTTCACAGCAGCCCCAGGGGCTCCACACAAAGACCTGATGTGCTGGAAGCTGTCAAAGAAACAAACTAGCTGATTTCTGAGTTAATAATGTGCTTTTTCCCTTTGGGCATTCCTGGTACAGAGTAGTACTTAATGCTGTGTAAGCTTAGTCTCCACAATTCACAAGCTTGAGGAAACCATTCCCTACATAATCTTTTAAATAAATGCTCTCTCTAGCTTCTGATAATTTTTTGACCTTGTCTCTGCTCCTGTGAGATAAAGCAGGGGATAGACCAGGCCAAGCCCTATTTTCTCCTACCAGGGACTCCCTTTCTTATTAATTTCCAGTGAAAAGCTTAATGTCCAGGCCTGAAATCTCATCATTCCTTGTTCTTTTTCTGTGATATGGCTGCACATGCAAGGAGAAATACTGAGCCAGGTGTAGCAGATGTAAAATATTCCCTGCCTCTGGATCATGGTGCTTGATTAGCTGGCAACAGAACTCACTGTAAATGGAAGTCTGCACTGGGATACTGGGAAACATTCCAGAGAAAGTGCTCTGTGACCCAAGAAGCTCCTTTTGGGTTCTGCAGAGCATGAGAACCCTCTGGTGCTGGAAGCCTGAAAGGGAGCTGGGCTTGCCAGTCCTCCCTCTCTGGCTGCATAATTCTTTGAGGAATGACTTTGGTGTCCAAAACTCCTGGATTGCAGAGCAAATTGTATTCAATTTGCCCTCTGGATGGCAGTTGTCTTCTGTTCAGTGGGCAGTTTTCCTTATCTCTTCCACAATCACTCCTCCCTCCAGGCAGACATCTGCTGATAACAGCTATGGAATGTCCCTCCATGGCTGATAAGAACTGCAGCATCCCACTGGGAGATGTGAGCCCAGAGGGAGGAGCCAAGCATTCCTACCTGGATATAATCTGGACATTCTGGAACACCAGCACAGCTTCTGCACTGGATTTCCCAGAGGAACAGCAGCTGCCTCTGCCCCTGGATCTTCAGAGGAAGAGACTGCACCTTTCTCCAGGATCCCTGCTCCAGCAGAACCAGCCCTGACACTGCAGGAGGGCTGAGCCACAATTCCAATGGGACTGCTGCCAACAGCCTGACCCACAGCGTGTCAGGTTGTGTTCTGACTCTGCCAGGGTTTGTTTAGTTTACTGCATTGTTTATTTTATCCTTTTATTTTCTTCCATATTAGAGACCTGTTATTCCTGCTCCCATATTTTTGCCTGAGAGCCCCTTAAGTTAAAATTCATAGCAATTCAGAGGGGGTTTACATTTTCCATTTCAGGGGATGCTCCTGCCTTCCTTAGCAGACACCTGGCTTTCCAAACCAAGACAGGGGACTATGTCTTCAAACATTCTATCTTAGCAATGCAAGACACATAGCTGATCTGTAATTAATTAAATTAATTAAAATAAAGTACAGGAAGTTCCATGGAGACAGTTAGATCATGTGATTTCTTAAGGTTTAGAAAATCTGGGAGTCATGATGAAAGAAAGAATACATTATTTCAGCATCTGCTGTACCCATCTGCACTCAATGGTTATAGCCCATCATTAAAGAGAAGTGCATGATCAAGAGAACTACTAATGCTGCTGACACACTACAAAGCTAAATTTGTTATTATTTGTAGTAAATTGAAGACCAATGGATAAAGGACCATGGAAAAATCTCAGGAGCAGATCAGTGTCAAGTTTGGACACTGACCTATAAATGAGGTGTAATTCCAGAGACTGATAAAGGAGAGAAAAGTACTGAGTAGCTGAACTGGCAAGGAGTGTAATGCTGCCCTGAACTGTATGTAAAATAGCATGAGATCATCTGTGACCATCTCATAATTTACAAAATACAAGGTGAAACTGTACAGACCTCCTTAGTTCTGGCACTTGCCAGGGACTGGAGAATGAGAACCTTCGAGTAGTGACTTGTTGCTGCAGAGATGTGAATCAGCTCACCTGTCACCAGCATTCTTTAACATGGTGACAACATGGAACATTAAGCCCACAGTCTTCTTCCTACTCACAGTTTGCCTGGCAGAGAGTAGACATGTCCTAACCTCTTTCCACAGTCATGTGTGCATGGATTTTATATAAAGGCAAGGTGGTTGCACAACAATTCAACATTTTACAATTCCTAGGCATTGTATGCCCAGCTATTTTGCTATGCATTGGCAATTATTTTTGGCATCTGTGTTTAGCAAGGGTGGATCTTTCCTAATAAACAATGCAACAATTACAGCAAGATAACAATTGACCTCAGGTTTTTCTTTGCCTTTGGATATCCACAGAAATTATTTGGCAGGTTCCATGCTGTTTACATCCTTTCTCCCCAAAAGCCAGGTAAGCTGAATACAATCAAATGCTGCTCTGAAAGGAACTTTATAGGATATAATTTAGAGGTTATTCAGTTATTTTTGAGCAGTTCTCCCTCACTTCATCCTGTTGCAATCTCAGGTACCTCCTGGTACCCATCTCATGCACCATATGGACTGTACCAACCTGCCTGTCCCCTTTTCCCTTGAAAATCAGGTTTGTAAGTACACCCAATTCCTTCCTTCAGATTTTAAACATAAATGCAAATCTATTGTTTGTCTGTACAGACACTCTGATGGTAATTACTACTCATCTCTAAAATAGGGAAGAAATCTCCACTCTCCAGAGGTATTGCCACACTGATTTTGGGTGTGCATGCATGTGCATATAGCTAATTATTCACACACTGTATGGGTTTTTAACTTACACATTTAGAATGTTTTTTGTTGTGATGAGTTTTTATTCTTTGACATATGAAGAGAACAAAAATTCTTACAATGCAAGAAGAGAGCATCAAAGCAAGCTTACAAAAAACCTCTAAACATCACATTATTCATAAGTAATAGCAAGTAAAAATCAGAATTCAGCAGACCATGCTAATGTCATCAGTTCTTGCCTTGATTCTAATGGGCAAATAGGTAGTAAATACTTAACTGAATAATTTAATTGAATAATTTAATTGAATAATTTAATTGAATCACACTCTTCCTAAATACCAGTGCACTGTATGCAAGAAAATTATTTAATAGCCTTTGATAAAGTCTACAGCATGATTAATTATAGTATTTGATGATGGGAAAGAGAAAATACCATATCCAAAAAATCCCACTGCAGCATGAAAGCCTTTTTCCACGTGGTGCCAGGTCACATGTACATTGTTGTCCTCTAAGCGTTT